ACTTCTTAAAAATTCTGAGAGAATTTAAATCTTATAGAGTTCAGCCAGCCCAGCGTGGTGATAAAGTGGAAAAAAACCAATTATTTTTAATGAAATAAAAAATAAAAGAATATTATATAAAAAGATTCTAAAAACAAGAATAAAAATGAATATAGAAAAAATCATTAAACAACTAGAAAAGGATTATGGAGAAAATCCATTATTATTTTGGAAACCACATCACCCAAAAGCCAAAATAGAATTAACAGAAAATGTTATAATAAGAGTTAGACCAATGATGTATACTATAGAAGATACACAAAAATTTAAAAACCAGATAAAAGAATTGTTAGGACAAAAACTTATTAGATCTAGTAATGGACCTCATAGTAGTTCAACCTTTATGGTTATAAAACATTCTAAACAAGTTAGAGGAAAAGTTAGAATGGTCATAAATTATAAAGAATTAAACAAATATACTAAATTTGATGGTTATTTTCTACCAAATAAAAAAGTGTTAATAAATCTTGCAAGAGAAAAATAATATTATTCTAAATTTGATTGTAAATCGGGATTTTGACAAATAAAAATGGAAGAAGATAGCATACAATATATTTCATTTAGAACACCTCAAGGAAAATATGAATGTTTAGTTATGTCATTTGGTCTAAAAAATGCACCACAAATATATTAAAGAAAAATGGATAATATATTTAAAAAGTTTAATGAATTTCTAATAGTTTATATAGATGATATATTAATATGTTCTAATAGCAAATAAGAGCATAGAAATCATTTAATCTAATTTATTAACGAATGTTAAAAAAAAAAAAAGGGATTGTACTATCTAAAAAAAATTTATAGTAGAAAAACAAAAGATAGACTTTCTCGGATTATCAATAAATAAAAGAGGAATAAAATTACAGACTCATATATCCAAAAAGATAGAAAGTTTTTCAAATAAATTAGAATCCAATGAACAAATACAAATTTTTTTAGGATGTTTAAACTATGCAAAATGATTTATTGAAAATCTTTCTAAGAAAAGATATAAAATCCAAGTTTTACTTAGAAAAATAAATATTAAAAGATGGAATGAAAAACATACAAAAATAGTTAAATCATTAAAAGAAGAATGCAAAAAATTATCAAAATTAAAATTACCAGATGAAAAAGATAATTTGATTGTTAATACAGATGCTTCGGATAAATATTGGGCAGCAATATTAAAAACAGATCTAAATGAAATTTGTAGATATTCAAGTGAAACCTTTAACCAAACAAAAATAAATTATACTATTCATGAGAAAGAATTACTAGCAATTATTAAAGGAATAAAAAAGTTCTCATTAATTTTATTGTCTAAAAGATTTATTATTGAAACTGATAATTCTCAAGTTACAGGATTAGTCAGGAATAAATTACCACTAGAACCTCAATACAAAAGGCTCCATAGATGGCAATCTTATTTAACACTTTATAATTATAAAGGAGTTAATAATTTTCTTGCAGATTTTCTCAGCAGAAATAAAGAATTTGCTGATGGATAAAGATAAGGTCATGGAATTATACCAATATATCATACATATACAAAAAATGACAGATTTTCTTAAAAAAGAATTTGAAGATATAAACTCTGGAGTTACCCAGATTTCAGAGATGTTTAACTCAAATATAAAAATATTGTTGAATATCACTACTGAGCATCAAAAATATGCCATAGAACTCAAAAATCAAGTTGATGCTATTGCAGCACAACTAAAAGATATACTGTCTGAGACAGATATATCAAAGAGCTCAAAAATGAGTTTTCCAAATCAATACCAAACAGGGACAGCTGGAAGCAGCAGTGGACTCAGACGTAACAACATACCAACTGATAATAAAGGAGATTTCATTTCTGTATCATCAACCAAGAAAATCATGATATATGGAGATAAAAGAGATACCAAAATAAACAGCATCATAGACTAAGAAGATAAAATCTCTTTAGATCCAAAAAGAAGAAAAATATGCCGAAATAGTCAAAATCGCTTATGAAATGAAAATGAGTGATTCATATTTTATTTCTCCAGAAAATAATGTTTATCCCAGAATAACAGTCATGGATGGAGAATACCCTTCATTTATAACAATTATGGCAAACTATGGATTCATGGATTTAATATATCTAGGAAAAGATTTTATTGAAATTTCGAAGTTTGATGACATATTCATTAAAGAAGTATCCAGCTTTGCTAAGGGAAGGAAAATATATTTGAAATTCTATTCAATTAGTCCAGAATATGATGGAGTTATTTACTATCCAGTTGAACACATAATCTCAATTGGATATGTTACAGCCAATTTCCAAATAGATGTTACAGAAAATAATAGAAAAGTTCCAACAGTGACAAATCATGGATCAAACATAAAAGAGTACTTGAAATTAAAGTCATTTACAACATTGCCAAAAATTTGTTTGATAAAAAATTATCGTGCTTGTACCAATATGAAAATTGGATGTTGGTATCCAATGGAGGATATGCAAAATCAGAAATTTTAAAAGATTATATTACAAGATTTGATATACATCAATTTTCAGGATGTCCTACCACTATAAAATAATCCTGCCAGCTAAGGGAGTGCCCCAGTTGCATGTAAAGAAATAAAGGAAGATGACAATAATAGAACACCTTTGACAGAGGTGTCCACCTGCATGTGAAGACATTGAAGATAAGGAGCAATAATAGAAAAAGATGCCCTATGGATAAAAAGTTGAAGCAACATGTGAAGATGTAGGCCCGAAGAGGAAAATAATAGAGAGGCAAGTGTACCTTACCGATGTATTCAATGAAGTAATAGAGTCTCATAAACTTGTATAAATAGAGACATTGTCATAGAAAAAGATCATCTTATCTTATCTTGAAATCCCGATTTGGAAGCAATAGCTACTAAAAATCTATTCTCAGTTTGAAAAATCAGTTTTTCTGGAAATCCCTTTGTATCAAATAGAAGTCTTGTATAAATTCTGATAAAAATAAAACTCCAATATTTTTTATATGAATATGAGTTTTTAAATCTTTATTCCCATAAATTCTTGATAGTTCCGATAAAAAATTTCCTTTTTATTTTAGCAAAAAGAAAGTTTTTCTTTAACAGAAGTCTAGGATTTCATTCTTTAGAAGTTGATACAGTGAGAGCAAGTAGCTGAAACAGTAACAATTCCATGAAGGCAGTAGGCCATTGAAGGAAGCAGTTTACAAATTCAGAGCTCGAAGGTCATTCGGTTCTAAGAATACAAGTCCAGATCAAACCTAAGGTAAAACTATTAAACTTTTGCTAAAATTAGAATGAATCTTTTTAAGATATTAAAGAATCGTAGGGATTAATTGCATGATTTGATGATCATTTGATAAATGCCAGGATATACAATTAAAGGATTGAATAATTTATTAGAAAGAATGATAGAAGAAATAAAAAATACGTATTCTCAATTAGAAAGTATGCATCTTCTGAAAAATATAATATATTAAATAATAAATGTGAATAATATGTTGCAGATTATTCAAATTTATTAGATCATAGAATGAAATTATATTCAAATATTCAAAATAGGGTAAATACAAGATAAAATATTTAAGAGATTAATATATATGTTGCAATATAGAAAGAATCTTTTTATTAAGGGTAATATAGACCTTTCAACAAAAATGAATAGTGATAGGTCAAATAGAAAAATCTTCCCATCAATTATCCATCATTCATGGTTTGGCCCTTTTTTTGGACCTTAGATCTGGTCAAGGTAACTCCTTGCTACACAACGTCGTATCCGAGCTTTATTTAAGGACGAGCAAACCAAAAAGGGTTATTTTTATCAAAGGACTAGACAAGTCATTCAAAACTTTTTTAGGCCTAACTTACTGTACAAAAGTTTTTGAACATATTATTGAAATATCTTAGATGTCCTTAGTACATAATGATTATAATGCCCATTTTTCAAATTATAATTGTTTTTAAACGACTCAATAATCGTTTAAACGACTACACTCATTTTAAAAAGTTGTAGTTTTTTAGTCATTTAAAATGACCATAGAAACGATTGCAGTTACTTTAGAAATGATACCGTGAATTTTACAGTTAACTTGGATGAAAAAACTTGTACTTGTAGATGGTTTCAATTAAAACATTTACTGTACAAGCATGCAGTAGCTACGGCGGAGAAGAGCGACTATTCAATTTACTTGTTATGCTCTCTGTATTATACTGTTGAAGATTGAGAGTGGTTTATAGTGATACTATTTTTCCTATGTCAAATGAAGTTGATTTGGAAACTCCTAAAATTTTTGATTTTCTCCATGTGCTGCTGTCATTATTATGACGAGGAGGTGGACATACTAAAATAGCAAGGATTCTGTATATTGGAGAGTTTCCCAAAAGACACAAATGTAGTAGGTGTGCCGCAATTGGGCACAACCGCTTAACATGTATAAGTAAGATACATTTAGCCGATACAAGATTGTAGGATTAGTATATACTTGTTTAGTTGATAGCATGTCATTTAGATAAAAATGCAAAATTGATTTCTACTTGGAACATTGTTAGTAGAGTACAATGAATTATATGTAATGAAATTTGTCTTCTTAGTCATTTGAAGTTAGTAAGTCAAAATCAAACACGATCTATAATATTAGAAGTTTGATTCTCACTTCATCTTGCCTTATGTATTATTGTAAGTAGCATACTTAGAATCTAAATACGGTATACTTCAATATTTTTAGTAGAGAAAGATGAATTGTGTATAATGAAGTTCATTTTCTAATTCATTTTAACTAATCCAAATTAATTGTAAATCGTATACTTGAAAATAGAATACAATACACAATTGAACAATGGGTAAGGAGTTGGTCGATTATATTTTCCTTAAATAATTACAGTAAACAAACAACATTTTTGAAAAAAATCGACACTATCTTCTTTGTAATTTAAACAAAATCAACTTGAAAAATAAATTACTAGTTATAACAATAAAAACCCCACATTCAACATACACTATAAAATTATATTTACACTTATACATATACAAATACATCAAAAGTTTCTAAGGTTCATAATCAAGGGCAAAAATATTGGCAGCCATCTTTTCTCTCCATCTATTCACATAGAAGCCATTAACTTGTTCTATTGGACCTTTGATGCTCAAGCATTCTATATATTTTGCTACATACATACCACAATCACCACTGAAAGATAATAAATAATGGTAAACGAAGTGAAATAGCTAAATGAATATGAACAAGTGAATATTTAATTTTAATAAAAAACTTACGAAACGGCTTGTTTAGTGGTCCTTTCTATAGTAAGAGTATTTGTCTCTAAATCGATGTTGATTTCCTTTAAAAGTAGCGGGACAATGATACAAGCGGCCCTCAACTTATCTTTGAGTTGATCGTTTGTAATGCAATCCTTATCAGGATCATACACAAATATTATCGCTTTGTAAAAGTCAATCTCAACTGCGAGCCAACATCTGCGAGTACATAACGAAAAGTATACGTGGGTACATTCTTGCCATTTACTTCCAAATGATGGCTTTGCCCAGGTGATATATTCCATTAGCTCTACCGTCATTCTGAAACAATTTCCTCACTCAAGTATATCAAACATAGCGAAGGTCAATTCAATATTAAATTGCACGTCCAGAATAGCTCGCGAACCACCAAATGATTTGGAATATTTTGTTGCCCAAGCCTACAACAAATGCAATGCTATGTCAACATGCTGAAAGTTGAATATATAGTAGTTATATACAAAGTAACTGAATAACACAAGTAATGAGTTAACATATTTACTTCATCTAGAAACCATCCCCTTGGTTTCAACACATCATTAAACCATTTTTCGCATTTTCTAAGTTGATATGACCCAACTTATATAAGAAAAAAGTACAAAATTGTATAAGAATACAATGATTAGCAAAATAATACAAATTTAATGACTTGGTAAAGATGCTTACCTATCACCTAAATTAGAGTGCCATTTAGAGAAATACTTCTTCTTAATTGGGTCAACATCCTGAAAAAGATCAACACGTGTTGTCAACATATCTTCTCCACTTAGCTCCAGTCTTGTATGGAGAGGAAACTAACTTTGAAGTTTTTTAATTTTATCTCGCACCAGGGCATCAATTTGTTGATAAGTTTTATCTGAACTTCTCTTTTTGCAAGTAAAAACCTTAGTGTACATCCCTGAGCTCTCATTATTCCCCACATCAATGTCAAGTATATCCATCCTCCACTCAATATTCCCTGCTATAGTCTCTATCACAGTGCCCCCTGCTTCAGTCTCCCACCTCATTCCCTGTCGCATGCTCCCTCCCAATCTCCCATGTCTAAGCCCCCCTCTCAATGACTCCTACCACTATCTCCATCACAGCGCTTCCTGCCTTAAACTCCCCCATAGGTCCATTGCCTTAGTTTTCCTCATAGTGTCCTCTATCTCCATCTTCCTTCCGACTTCCTCATGGTTATCTCACTCGGTCCCAAATACTTCATTAGCCCTAAATGAATGGTTTATGTCAAGATATTGGCTCGATCTCATCCAATCCATTATAGTATCGACCTTCCTATTTATCTCTTCATATTTATCAGATAACCTCTCCACGTGGTACAACAATTGTCTCAACATATCATCGTGATCACAAGAAGCTCGACGATTGCGTAGAGGTCTTCGACTTGTAGGAATAGAAGGCTGATGTACACGAACAATCCCTGAACTATACACCTAATGGAATAAGAGAACATATAGTTAGTAGCAATTCAACGTACGAAAGATGATAAAATAACCCTATGAAATATACATACATCATCATCACCCATTTTCTGAGAGACTCTCTCCCTCTATCTCTATGGTGGATCTAGATCATCATCTAGTTCTGCATAACTAACCTTGGGGTATCCTCTATCCTTGTAGAGATAAGTATCTAAGATTGGATATTCTTTTTTAGTTCCATGAACGAATAAAGTCACATATTGTTGCTCAGTCTCATTGAGAGTAGACGTCAATGAGCAACGGACTTCGAGCTGAAATTTGACAAAAAAAATCCTTTTTAGCAACATTAGAGGTAATGAATAGAAGTAATTACCTTATAGAAGATATACTCACTTGTGGGTCGTCCAAGGTTTTAGCAATATCCCTAGAATTAGGAGTAATTATTGACTTCCAACGACACATTCTTCGCAGCCCATTGATAGGCAACCTAGCTTGATACATGTTTGCTATTTGTGGAATAGCCTCAAATGCCTATGACTAAAAGAAGATATATAAATTATTTGCAAATAATTAAAATCAAACAAAGATGATGTTTAAGTCACAAGTTTTTGTCATTTACTAGTTTTACTAGTGGAAATCCCCATAAAGAATATTTAGACTTTGGATTCTTTAACAGTCTAAGGAAAATCGTGTATTGTAAACTTGAAACATTTTCTTTCCCATGGATATCTATTGAATAGCTCCAAATCACCAACTATATTTAATGTTTGAAGATCAATAGATGTATTTTTTTTCTTTAGATCTCAGCATAGTCTCGTATATAAGTACTAGACCCAATTTGTATTTCTCATCCATGTCTTCTATCTCTTTCTCAAAAGTCTCATTCAATTGTTTTGGCATAACCTTACTACATGCTGGGAAGCATTTATGTGCCAATCTATTATTTTTTTCATCTATTTGGTTTTGATATCCCTCATCATCAGCAGGGTTTAATCCCGTGATGAGCGTAAACTTATATAGGAAGAAACGGGCAGCTTTTTCATCCCATAAAAAAAGACCATAGTTTCTCCTCGTAGAATCCTAGCCAAGTGAAGATCTACTGGATGGAGGGTGGAGTGGAAGCAGAAAGGAAAGAGTCATTGTACATTACTAATCGAGAAGGCAATGCAGGCAATGAACCTTTCGTAATAACAAGTTGTGAATTATTTGGGCAGATATTTTTATGTTCCTGATGTTGTATAGTTTACCAAAGCACGACTTCAAAAAATCTCCTTTTGGACGTCATCTAATGCATTATATACTTTTTGTACATTTAACACGTTAGGACGTGTTGTAACCTTCACATCACAGCGATTACCAATGTTGTATATGTGCTCCATCCTACAAATAACATGAAACTATTAGTAACTCAATTGAAGTGAAAGTATGTAAATCAAATATGCAATTAATTAATAAAAAAAGAGCAAACGAAAACTTCAAAAGGCCATTATGATAATGACTGGACGTGTTGTAACCTTCACATCACAGCGATTACCAATGTTGTATATGTGCTCCATCCTACAAATAACATGAAACTATTAGTAACTCAATTGAAGTGAAAGTATGTAAATCAAATATGCAATTAATTAATAAAAAAAGAGCAAACGAAAACTTCAAAAGGCCATTATGATAATGACTGATGGCTTATTTGGTTGTTACATTTTATTTTTTGTGTTTCTATGAAATAAGGTGACATAGAGACATTAAGTGACTTGTTTTAGGCAGGATGTTAGTCTCCATAAATGACTAAAGAGCATGAAGAGTACATAATTTTTAACACCCAGGATCAAGTTATTATCAAGAGCATGAATGGTTATTAAGACAAATATAATAATGATTCACTCTAAGGAAATATTCACTTGTGGTGAATAGGAAACAATTAATTAATTTTTTTTATGGAACAGACATATCAATATGCGTGGATCATACCTTTTGTTTCACTTCTTTAACAGTGAAGGCAAATCTTGTGCCCTATTAGGAACCTTCTGTTTTGCAATGCAAAAATCAATGGCCCTGCAGCCAAAGATTAGCCAATTAACAAAACTATATACAATTCAATCTTATTAGCCGATACACCACAAATTCATTAGAACATGGTCTAAGCCTATAAAGCGGCCAAGCTTCTTGCCATTTATCATAATAAGTTCAAGTCAACTTTTGAACACCACAGAGCAATTACAAACAATACCCATAGTGAGTCACATCACAGAAAGAATGGAACAGTTATCTAATCCTACACATTAGAATTTCTCATAAAAAGAACATAAAATTGTACATTGTCGATAATTCAATTTACAAAACTTGGTGGAAAAAAATCCTAACAAATCTATGCATCTTATGCAATTGAATACTAAACAAAAATAAATATAAAGCATATTTTCTTCTAGACACAGACACAAAATCAACATGTCAAAATTGTAACAATTAAAAAAGACTCAAGCAACAAAAATAATACTCATCAGACCTAATAGTTTATATAAAAAATTATTCAAGTTTACCTCAATATATGCAAAATTTTGCTCAATCCTTCCTCACAACCTTGAATGGTTCCTCAAGCCATAAACAGTGGCGATCGTTCAAATTAGATAGCTACTATTGAAGTTTGCAAATGTCTGTTCAAATTCTGAAGATTTAAAGCTTGAAGATATTGCTTCTTTTAATATTAATAATAATATTGTAAAATTAACATACCTCACCTCACTCCCAAACCCTAAGTTTATCTTCATTCCTCCATTCTATCTCTATTTCCTTCTCTATATACACTTTACCTAAACCTCTCTTGTTGATGATGAGCGTCGCTTCCCTGCCTCTTCATTGTCGGCCTTCTTCCTCCTTCTTCCATAATCTGTGGTTTGGGATCCGGGTTTTACATCTATAATTGTCGTTATCACTGGCGATGTGATTGATTGGTTGGTAGTTGTTATGGTTTGTCGTGGTGTGATTTTTGTGTTGCTGTGGTGGTTGTGGTTGTGGTTGCGATTGCAACTATGTACATATTCCTCCCTATTATTGTGGTTGATGTAGTGTGTGGAGATGTTGGTTGTGGTCGTGGGTAGGGTTTGGATGGGATGGGGTAAGGGTGTTTCTAACCAATTATTTGATTGATTGTAACTAATAAATAATATGTGATCTAAAAAAGTGAATGCGATTAGTTTTGAAATGGGTCATACTTAATCTCTTAAATATGAAATTTTTCCTTTCAATAAAAGTTGATGAAATGTATTATTAATAAAAATTGTGAATCTCATAAAATATGTACTTAAAAATGAGTTTGAAGAAAAATGTGTTTTAAAAAATGGGGCCAAACATGACATTAATTTTTTGCAAAAAATTATTAGTGTATTATTTTTATTGTTTAGTTCGACAAAAGTATGTTTTCTTGGACTAATTTTTGGTTTCGAAATGCATTTTTTCGAAGTAAAAAAAGAAAAATGATATATACGATTATACACACTCATAAATCTCAAACAGACAATTCGATTTAAAGGATTTTATTATGTGTTAAAAAAAGATTTTAATAAAGGAAAAAATATCACACTAGTCCTTCTCGTCATCTTATAAATTTTCATACTAATTAGTCCTTACTCATGGTGGACGCAGGCATTTTTGGTTAGTGGGACACACTCAAACTTTTCAAAAAGTGACGAAAAATTTAAATATTCGATATCTTATTCCAATTCTTCTTTATGTGTTCTTATACTTTGATATCATTACCTAATAATTCTGTTTTTATTTTAATTTTTTTGATGAAATTCCCAATTCCCAAACAAATTCAAACAATGGCTCCATTCAATCCCTAACATTTATACACCTAGTTCAACAAATTTAAAGAGATTCCCAAATCCCAAATCATATATTCAGATTTCACTTTTCACCATAAAGATTGACATGTTGCAACGAAAACTGGAAATCAAAAATATTCATTAACTAGTCAACATTAAATTCATTCATAATTATACATGACGTGAAACAAGAATTTGAATGAATGCTTCACCTTTAACATTGGTATGTACCGATTTGTTTGAAACAGAACTAGAAGTACCGGATCCTCCAGCCGTAGCAGCCACTTGAAAAGCATGTATTATATCAGGATGAGCTTGCATCCATAAAGATAAATTAATTCGACAAGCAACTTCTACAAAAATTCAACATTATCCCCATTATATTGTTGAAATTTAGTGGTGTTAATGAAATCGAATTATCACACATCGTATATGTAGTTTAGATACCGGATCTAAGCATACCGTATATGCAGCTTACCTTATATGTTGTTTACTGTATATGCTTTTAACTGTATTTGCACATATTATTTTTATCCATTTCATATATACCGTATTTTCACAACTACTTTTGCACATAAGAAATTTCAGAATAATATTGCAGTAAAATTTTTCACATACCGAAATTGCAGTAAATTTTTTTCTTTCAGATTTGTATTTTTAACATAAAAATAAATTAGCGCAAATTAATTTCAATAAACATGAAGGGAACAATAACATAATAAAACTGAAGCACATGAATAAATTGCAAAAATATTAAATAATGGATGAACTTTCAACCCGAAGCCTGTGCGAGCACAGTTTCCTTAAAACAGATTCGCGCCCTCATCGTAAGTGCTTGAGGTCTAATCCGAGCGTCTGTTTCTCAGGATACGACAGTAAAATTTGTAAAATCTGAACACAACACATACTACTCCGATGAACTAATTAGTCTCCGAACAATGATGATGCTGAACATAAATCAAGATGCTGATAGAGATTTAGATGTAGAATGAGAATATGCAAAATGCTTTTTTTTTTTTCCCTATTTTCCTGTTGCAATTGCTGAAAAATTATGAGATTTAATATATGTTAAATCTGTTCATTAAACTCCATGAAAATAAATTATGAAGTTGCTTCAATTTTTGAGAGTTTTGGCAGTTTCAGGAAACTCAAAAGTCAGTTGGAGAAAGCAAAAAAATTGTAAAACATGGACAGTCCAAACGGGCCTATTTTTGCTCCGTTCGGTCCGACACTCGTATCACAGATTGTGCTCGTATACAAGTTCAAGGTCCGAATGCTATTTCGGTCTTTGATTTACACCCCCTACGCGCACACGTGAAGAGAGCCTCTATATTGTATATGATTACACCCTTTCAATGTGCAAGTATATTTAAAGTGATTCTTGCCTTCATATTTTTTTTTATATGGGACAAACTCAATTTTTCTCACATAAACCATCTTTCAATGGTAAACTTTGAGCTCCAATTTCTCATTCACCCGAACTTCATTTTCTGTAAGTAAATATATGATTTCAATGCGCTTACGTAGGAAAACATAAATCAATTTTGATCTTCCACTTTGGACCAACGGGTCCCATAAAAAATTGTGTCAAAAGTGAGCCAATTACTCATTTTTCCAACATATATAACCACCAAAAAATTTTAGATCTAAAAATATATATTTTTTGAAGATATTCCAAAATACAGATATCAACAATCCCAACAAAGCACATTTAACGACTCCTTACCTTTCCCTTCTCCTGATTATGCAATTTCGATTACTTCTTACTTTACCAGGGAATATCCAGATTTAGAACTGTTCTATTCTTTGAATAGATAGCCATTTAAATAAAACCAAAAGCATTTTATCATAAGTTAATGCCTTCCATCTCTAACAAGCACTGTCCTTTTCGTTTGCTTTGTTTTGTAATTTTTGGAACGCAATAAAACAATGAAAAGGAGTATGAACTTGGGAGTAGGGGTAAGGATGGGGTGGGGGTGAGGAGAAAGAATAGAAATCAAGCATCACCTTTAAAATATCAATAGCCTTTTTTATGAGAACATCTATTTTTATTTATTTCTAGTTGGACATTTCGAGTAGGACTTTATTTTAGTTTCTTATTTATGTAATTGGGCTTATATTTGGTCAAACCCGTTCTAATTAGGGTTTTATTTTTACTATTTAAACCTAATTTGCCATATAATTTCATTTAGTTGATGATTGAATAAAATTATTTTGGTGGCTTGTGGCAATTTTCCCTCTCCTCTACCATTATTCTTTTCCCTCTTCTATTATTTTCTTATTGTGTCATCTCTTTCCCTGATTTCTTATTACTGTTGATTGGTTTTCTCATTCTCTTTTGGGTATTCCTATTGGTGCTGCATCACTTTTGAGCAGAAGCAGCATTTGAAGCTTAGTCTTTCTACTTTTCAGCATTCATCTACCAAATCAACAATGCTACCAATAAACAAACAAAAAGAAAAATGAGGATAACCAAAACCACGATTTTATCAAAAAATTCGGGACAGAATGAAGACCTGCATCTCATGCGTCTTAAACGTTTTCATCTAGTTATGAAAATCCTTCATCCTGGATTCATCCTCTCCAAGTTGTTTAAAGAGAATATCATATGTTTTCTTCTCATGCTGATATATAAAATCAAATTCATTCATGACTTCAGTAGAGAGACATTTAGTTTAGGACATGCCTAGTGCAAGAGCTTGAAGATGCCACATACAGTTGAAATCAATTGCCAGAGCATGGTAGTACACCGCAGTCTGAATGTGTTCCTCTCCAAGCAGTCTGTCATTTCTTTTGCAAGGCTTCTTACAAATAACGAAAGGCCGTATCCATCTTTCCAATATCTTGATACAGCACTGCAACATTTATAAAAGTAGCAGCAACATTTGGGCGATCTAGGCCAGATGACAAAATTAACAGAAGTAATGCCAGTAACATGTGCCGCAAGGCAAGTTTTTTTTTTTATTAAGACCATGGTAGAATAAGCCATGTTTCCATAATTGCAATCAAGTTCTCAGAGTTTGAGTAATAAAGAAACCAATAATGATAGATAGGACAAAACAAAATCCAGTTACGGCAAAAATTCTCCCGTAGAATCCACACATGGTTCTGTTGTTGGGTTTGTGACCTAAATTATGGTGGATTTTTTTTTTAAATAAATTGTTTCCTTATTTTCATGTGGAAAAATTTGTTTCCTTATATTTTACATGATTTTTATGGAAATATATTACTTCCATCTTTATGCCATATTGGTCTCCTCTTTCAATTTTGTTAAAGCAAGAATTGCCGAGTTCTGTTATTTTTCTCCATATTATCGATTAATAAAATGTCATGCTTTTGCAATTTACTCTCTATGTTAATTTGTTTACTTTTAAATCATGTTTCTCGTTGCTATTTTCATTACTTCATGTTGCGTCATTATTCTTATTCACTACAATCCTTCTGGGTCCAATAAGTGGTATCATAGCTTGATTCTTATTATGGATTGGTTGAGGTTTTTCAGAGATGGCTGCTTTGAAGTATGATATTTCGCAATTGGATCACAATACATGATTTTCTTTGTAGCAAGTAAAGATGAGAGCTATTTTGGCACAGTGATATTTGGATGATGTGTTACTGGATTTTGAGAAGATGTCAGCTAATTGGACAATCGAAGAGAAACAATGAAGGGATCGGAAGGCATTGTTGTTGATTCGTCTTCATCTTTCTGACAATATTCTGCAAGATGTTTTGTGAAACTGGAGCAGTTATGTACAACGAAGAGTCTTACCAGTAAACTGACTCTAAAGTAGAAACTGTATTCCCATCGCATAGTGGATGAGGGTCATTGGAAGATCATACTGCCGTGTTAAAGGAAATTGTCGTAGATTTGGAGATGTTGGAGGTTAAGTATGATGAAGAGAATCTTGCTTTGATCCTGTTATGTTCGCTACCTTGCTCTTATGCATCGTTTCGGGACACTATTTTGTATAGTCGGAATACTTTGACTATAGACGACGTTTATGATACTTTGCACTCAAAGGAGAAGTTGAAGCATTTGGTTGAAGATACATCGAGGATGAGGAAGCTCTGGTATCTCATGGTTATTGATGGAGGCGTAGATCGAGGACGAACTTCAGCAATTTGTACTGTTTCTATTACAGGAAATAAAGACAAGTAAAGAAG